ATATATATGATTTAGTTCATATACCCCATCACAAACATTATTGTTGAGAACTTTGTAATCTTACAGTCACATTTTAGTCCTTTTTAAGAAATTAAGGAAACATTATGGTGACTTAATATGAACTTCTGATATTAAATTTGTTTCTGGACGCAACACACAAACAGCTTTTTGAAATGTAACAGGGATTTGTGATTATCTTTTAGTCTGCCACATGAGTGAATTTACCTGAGCAAGAGGTTGTGGTTTTGGAGCATGGCYGTTGGCCTGACTCTGTGCTTTGGCTGAGAGAAGAACAAAAACATAAAACACCTCAGTAACATTTCTGCAGAAGCAAAACGTTTAGGACTAATCATCACATCTTTTCTTTCCCCCCCTAATGAACCAGATGTGGATATTTGGATTTGGGCTACCTTTGATGGTGGGTGAGGGTGTTGACGAAGTGGAGCTGGAAGGAGTGCTGCGGTTCGTCCACGAGGAGTTGACAATTGCCTTCTTCTCTGCTGTTTTATAGTTTTCATGCAGTGATGCGCCGTACTGTAAGTGGAAAAAAACTTAAGTTAAGTTTCAAAACATCTGGTTTAATAGATAATAAATGATGTTCTTTAAAACAGCGTTGCTGAAATTTTACCTTTGCGATTCTTATCCCTGTCATCCAAAGATTCAAAGCCCAGGCATCGTCACAGCAAAGATATTTAATGTACTGAGACTCTTTCTGAATCTGAGGATGCTGCAGAAACAAAAACACATTTTATTCATTTTATTAGTGCCATAAAGTTTGTTGGTTGTTGTTTCTTTAACCAGAATATGTTAGATCATGTTTAGATGGTGTACACTTTTACTTTTAACTAAACCTAGCTGTGATCTTTTGGAAATACTAATCTTTTTAACAATATATCATAACAGTCTTTCTAAAAGTTTTCTTTACTTTTTAACATTTACCATTAGACACATTGTCCATTTAGGCTAATCTTCTCCTTCATTCAGACATATAAAATCAAACAGAACAAACTAACTTTCACTTTTCTTAAACTGAATGTTCACTAAGTTATTTCAAAGAGCAACAAAACACAAAACCGTGGTCAGATTTAACTTCCTTATTTCCAAGTCTTCTTGTTGAACATATTATAT